TTTTTTTAGAGTTCTATGATTATCACCTTATATCTCCTCATACTATGAATAAATTTCTTTGTATCTTTTTTTCTTTATTTTAGATGATGAACCATCCCATTTATCAACATCACAACGTAAAAAGTATGATTTTAATGCATCTGTTGTTCATCGTATTCATGAACTTGATGCTGAATTAATTAATGCAAAAGAATTGTATGCAAAAAAAATAGAATCAACTATGACAGATTATAATACAACTGTTCAAATAGCTCAACATATTAAAACACCATCTTCATCAAAAAAGACAAAGATTCAATCATTAGATAAAAAAGCAATACCATCAATTTCTACTCCGAATGAATATTCATTACAACCAAATTTACTCAATGCTCTTTGTGAAGCAACAACATATAATGAAGCTTTTAAAGAAGTTGTTGACCCAGTTGGTGCTATTGTACCAAATAAACTTATGCAAATTGAACGTCCACCTTATAAACGTACAGGTGAACGACGTCGTTATCATAAAGTATTTACAATTCGTACACCAAAACTTCGTATGTTTCCAAGATAAATAGAACATTTAAATAAAATAGATAAACATATTTATCTTCTTTTTATTAAATATTTCTTTATTAATTCTACTTATTCGCGTATCCATTTGACTAGTAAAGAAAATAATACTGATGATATATAATATTAAAATTATAATGAAATTATTAATGCAAACTTTTCATGCGTACAATTAGAATACTTTTTTTGAACTAAATGATTTGAGTTTTTTTTTCCCAACTTTTGCTTTTTATCTATTAAACAAAAATGATTGGTTAAGTTTTAACTTGAAACATATTTTGTTGGAAACGAATAATTCATTTCTGACAACATTACAATTGACAAGTTTGTTCATATCATATTTGTCTATATGTTTATCTTCGGTTCAATTGCAAAGTTTAGCGATTTAATGAATTACTTGCAATGAAAATGTAAAGAATTTTATGTCTTATTGATTGCAGACACACACAAATCATCAACATATTTATTTTTCAGAATATTTAAAAGATGTTATTTTCAATTACATTGATTATTTTTCTAAATCAATTGTCTTTCATAAGAGTTTCGAAGCTATATGTTTTATCTTTTTTTCTATTCGCTCCAAAAGTCTTCAAATTAAGAACATCTATTGATATAATATAGAGAATACGGAAAAAAATGTAAGAAAACTCTATCAATCATAATGGCACTTGATAATATATCACAATGATCGATGATTGAAAGTAATATTTTATGATCAGATTGTTTATCTTTGTTCTATTATTTTTTTAGCAAATAATCATTCTTTTTATTTGATTTCACTATTCAGTAACGCCCTGAATTGTGTACAAAAATGATAAATTGGAAAATCAAATACATTGTTGACATGTTTAAATAAAAGCGTTTCAAAAAATGTCTTTATTATCATATCTCCTTGTAGAATACAAACACCAGTAAAAACTTGATATGTATTATTAGAGAATGTTTTTAGCATACGAAAAGCATCTTCTGTATCACATGGTTTTCCATAGACAACATTATTTAATGAGCACATTGTATCAGCACCCATAATAATAAAATTATTTTTCTCATTCTCATTTAATTTAATTTGTTGATAGACATGACAACATTTATCTTCAGTTGTATCAATAAAATACTGAGAAAGATTTTCTTTATATAATGTGCGATCAAGATCTTCAGCAAAATCAGAAATAATTATATCAAAATTTAAGCCAATTGATTGAAGTAATTGTTCACGTTGTGGTGAACCACTAACTAATATAATATATTTTTGTTGGTTCTATGTCTTATTGCCGAAACTCGCGCCGAAACAAACATTATCCAAAAAGAAAAATTGCCGAAATCAACATCACTAAAATACAGCTTGTCGATAAAAACTTCATCGAAATGCAGATCGCCGAATTCATTTCGATCGTCTACCAGCTTATTAGAGTTAGCACTGAATCAAGCTAGTGAATAATTTAACATGCTTCCTAAGTAAAGCTAGTGGCTGACATGGTCAACTTGGTTCCTAACTTGATCAAGTTAGTAACTACCTTGATTCCTAACTTGATTTCTCACTTAACGGGTGAGCCAGAATAAATGGCCATATTTTGCATTTTATTTTCTCATCATCTAATATGTCACATTACAGAAAAAAATATACCATAAAATGCAACCTGAAAAACTCTATAACCTACATAGTAAAGCTTATTTTAATTGTGTACATTTTGTTCTAAAAAACGGAAAATCGCACAAAGATTACTTATTTCATCCTTTTATCACCTAATACTCATCTTAAAAAAAACAGAATATACTACAAGATGCAACATGAAAACCTCTACAACCT